CCTTTGAAGTTCCCATCGTTACCCTCAAGTGTTTGTAGTAAATTTTGTGAATCATTTCTTGTATAAAGTAGGGCTCCCACTTTGAATACCACTGACTGTTCAAATAATTACATGATGAGGGTAAATAAAATAAGATCCAGTAAAAACGAACTATTCTAGAAAACCTGAAGATGTAAAAAAAGATGGAATGGAAGCTGTGAAAGGTAAAATTTTTTAAGTCATACTTCTTAAAAATTTTGCCATATCCAATAACAAGCAGAAAATGGAAACAAGTAGCAAAAGTCGCAGTAAAACTGTGGCCAGTAACAGGCATTCAAGTTCACAGTGTAAAGGCACAATCTATGATTTTTCATTAGTCAAGCTAGTTCTCAAAATACATAGTAAATTAATGAAAGGTTGGATATATTTCTGTGCTTATGCAAGGCAACAGTATTTTATTTCTAAGCAAAACAACGCAAGATCAGAATGTAATTACATCTTCAATTAAAAGCAAGTTTGGGTGTACCTGACCAAATTTCAACATGAGGTCTACAGATTAAAGTACTAAGCAAGGATGGTGGCAAGCAGTAGGAACAAAAGGAACTTATTGAAACTTGCTTTCTTACGTACTCCATGGAGCCGAGTCCTTCCTGAGAAGCCAGCAGTCGCTCAAGAAGTTCCCAAAATGCAATGATGATATTGCTCAGTTATGGTCACCAACAGTAAGGAATGAAGTCTGCATGTTTTGTTGAATGAGAATCTTATGAAAATCAGGAATTTTCTATGAAATTATAATTTTGGCATGTACCAGTTTCTGGTTATTTGAAACTGAAAGTGATAAATGGCTTATATAAATGTTAAACAATTTGATTTTATTTCATAATTCTTATCGATTTGTTTATTAAAAGTTAATCACAATTTCGTGTGACTGAGTAGTGTTTGGTTGGTGGATGCAAGAAAAGTTGGGTGAAAGTAGATGGAGGATTTGAGGTTTCCACGATGTTGAGTTTGAATATGGCTGTCTTGTGAGTTGTTGAGCCATGTAGTTTGGTAGAAGTTTACCGACGTTTCAGAGGTCCTTGCTGCCTCCATCATCAGGGCGATGAACCCATAAGGCAGCCACCTTCAAGTAGTTTGGAACTTATAAGTGTATGCCTTGTGTTTTTATATAGCAACTCCTAACAAATTCAATTCGAACATTGCTAGCCATATCTTTTACAAGGAATGTCCAATTATGTTTCTTTGTAGTTCGAGCTGTAATCAGTGCAGAAATCGAACGCTGCAATTAAATGCACGTCATCTTGACAATGTTGGTATACCCTGTGCGTTATGCATTGGTTGTACATGCTCAGTTTTCATGTGCCTTTTTCTTCATATATTCATCTTTGCTAATCACGGACTGGTTTCTGAAATTACTAGCAAACGCGTATGACCTGTGTTTATTCGTGTTCGGTGAAGTTTGAAGAAATTGTTTGTCAATATGGAGGATATAGGGAATACAGGAAATGTGTCACTGAAACGATCTAAGAAGAGAAAAATATCCCTTGAAGAACTTGAGACGTTGTCTAGAGAAGTAAAATAACCAAATGTATAATCGGTGGTCGATCATGATACATACCATTTAGATAGTATAGGTTATGGGGTTTCAGGGTCTCTCTGCAGTGAAGATGTTGATGTTCTTCGGGGTTTTAATGTTATGTGGACTTGCAGGTAGATACCAAAGTTTTAGAGGAGCATACTGTCTGCATCTTTAGGATGGAGGCAGTGCTTGTCCACATGTCACATAGCTTTATGACCCACAGGACCAACATCAACAGTACAGGTTATGTATTGCTTTAGATTCTTGTGTGCATAGGAAGGCAAGACGGCAATGTAAATTCAAGGGAGAAGCCATAATTAATGTGAACATTTGCATACAGCATTGAATACAAATCCAGTTAATTTATTAATTTATTGCAGATGCTTTCCATGAATTATAGCATCTTGTATCGAGTAAAATGATTCTGATTGGTTATTTTTATCATAGGTATGCAATAAGCTTATGTGGCAATTCATAATATGAAAGAATTTGTCAGATGTTTCAGAATTATGTAATCAACTTTGGTCTTTTAGGAGCTCATAAATCACATACTGCGATTGGACATACATAATAATCAACTGAAGAACATAATTAATAAATCAGTTCCAAAGGAATGTGCTGGAACTCACTTATCTGTAAAGAAGAATCGGAAATTTGATTTTTCCAAGTAAGTAATGTGGTTCTTAGAGAAATAGCTGTGAAGATGAAACTGACAGGTAATATAGTCTAATATGGATTTTTGAAATGCTGCTTGGGAACCTCAGGTTTCTATTACAACAAAGAATTTTTTTAATAACAAGAAAAGTCACGTGTTTTAGGAAGCTCTGTACTTGTATAATCAGTCAGTTTTCCAAGATTTTCATACCTTCTATGAGCTGGGGTAACTCATTTGTGAAGTGTCTAACTACAGACTGGACTGCATATAGGCCGGCTCTGTGGTCCACCCAGTCTCCCATCCAATGGGTACTGGGTTCTTTCCCCATGGGTAAAGTGTAGCAAAGGCATGATGCTGATCAGTCACCCCATGTAGTACTGAAGTCCCCAATTTGAATTTTAAAATTATATCAGAAGGCCTCTAGTTCTTTGTATCTTATATTTCATCCACAGATGTTCCAAGCGGCATGTGCTACTGAAGTTGCTATATTTAGGATGGGAATATCAGGGTTACACAACACAAGAAGACACCACAAACACCATAGAATATCATTTGTTTTCAGCCTTGGAGAGATGTTGTTTAGTGGAAAGTCGCCAGACTAGCAACTATGGTCGATGTGGGCGTACAGACAAAGGTGTTAGTTCATTTTGTCAGGTATATTGTATTCTACCATACCATATTTTAATTTGTGGATGTATGAGTGCATGGACGTGCATGGTACCTTTTATACAATTACATGATTATATTTTGCTTTATTTTAGGAACTAAAATATTTTCAATTGTAAATTGAAATTTTTAATTTTTCTTTGTTGTATTGTCATATATCATACATTCTGAACACTTACATCAACAAAGAATCTTCTGTGAAATTCACGGTTAGCAAGTAAAGTTGCTCAAAATGTATTAGAAATATAATAAAATCCTGCATTAATGTTCAAATGTTTTACCACATTATTTGTAATAATATTTTAAAATTTACAATAGTAATGGAGTTACAAAATATTCTTCATAATCTTGGAAATGTAACAGATTTTGTTTCATGATATCAAAGTATTCACTATTGCTGGCTGTTTCTCCATCAAACCTCTGCCATCCTGTGTAAAATGCAGCTTGAAAATCACTGCACTAACTACAGTAACATATACATGTTTCATTGTTATACAAGGGCAGATGAAACAGTAGAATGAGCATAGTTGTATTAATAAAGATATGTCTAGATGCACCAGATTAAAAGTTATTTCATTTTAACCTTTGCCGTAAGTTTGCGTTTGAACCTCTCCTTTATTCAGCAATACTTTTTCAGCTGTATAGGTCTGTATCAGTCATGTTTTTCTGTTGGTATTTAGAGTCTTGGTTTTTTCTATTTTTAGGTGGTATCACTTGATATCAGAAGCAAGCTGACACAGGAACAATTGGCTGCATGTGGCAACGCTGTGGAGGGGGAGTTGGATTATCCAAAGCTCCTAAACAGAGTCCTCCCCACTGACATCAGGGTGTTCTCATGGTGTCCTGTACCTCCAAATTTAAGTGCCAGGTTTGACTGTAAACAACGGACATACAAGTACTTCTTCCCTCGGGGAAATCTGAACATTGAGGTGTGTATTAATAATTTGTAATGAAGTTTCATTTTAACATGTTCTTAAAGTCAGTGAGATCTTTCATTATATAAGACTGGATGCTTTCTTAGTGACAGAATGATGTCGTGTCACCTGACCACTTATATCAGTATGCACAGTACTGATTTGGCTAATTACCCAAGAAGTTATAATTTAACATGGAATTTTTGATGTTTTCTAGTTTATAAAAGATCAGATGTGAAATTAATAAAATCTGCAGCACTTACTATGGCTTTGATTTGTTTTTACAGGCAATGGACACAGCAGTGCAGTACATGGTTGGATGCCATGATTTTCGCAATCTCTGCAAAATGGATGTTGCAAATGGGGTTGTGAAGTATGAGAGACGGATTATTAGTGCAAAAGTGAAGATTATAGTTACAGACTCTTTTCGTAATGGTGCTGATACTACATCAGGTTTGTTGCACTTAAAAATTGTCATTTCAGTTTCATTTGGTGAAACCTCTTCAATATAAAGATTGTGTTCTTAGTTTACAAGACTTTTAATTAACAATTTAATGAAATTCCTTTATTTAGTGACTGCATTCCTTCATCAGTATTACATTGTTTTGGTTGTAACCTTACTCAAGAATTGAATAAAGTTCATAAAATTTGTAATTTTGTTACAAGAAACCTGCAGCATGTAATTTCATGTAATACATTTCTAAGAAGGATTTGAGGTTCTCACAACGGTGAGTGCCATGTAGCCTGGTAGAAATTTACGAGCATTTCAGAGGTCTTTGCTGCCTACATCATCTCAGTGCCTTGATGATGGAGGCAGCAAGGACCTCTGAAACGTTACATGGTGTTTAACCTAGAAAACAGCCATCTTACCCATTGGATAGGAGACTTGGGGAAAGAGGAAACTTTTGATGCTGTCAGGGATTGAACCCTGGCTGTACAGGCTGTAGTTGGCACTTTTTGGACAGCTTTGTCGTTGTTTTCACATGCCTACAGCTGGAAAAACCAGAAACCCTAAAAAGTGTACTCTGAGAATTTGTAAATTGTTTTCAGCATATGACATGTGTGAACTAACACTGGTTGGCCAGGCATATCTGTGGCATCAGGTGAGGTGCATCATGGGAATCCTTCTCCTTATTGGGCAAGGCAAAGAGAAGGTGGAAGTCATGAAACAGCTCTTAGATATTGAAAGTCACCCGAGGTAAGTAGTGAGTTCCACGCGTATCCTAAGTAGGATTTGAGGTTCTCATGATAGTGAGTATGAAGACGGCTGTCTTCTGGGTTGTAGCGCCATATAGTCATGACCGCCTTTCAAACTTCTGGCAGAGGAAGACGTTAGCTCCTCTCAATATGAATGGATTGTGTGGGATTTTTATATAATTGAAGCCTAACTTCTTTGTCAAGACTATGTAAATTTGTAGAAAAGAACTACACCTCACTCAAACCACATAATCCTTTATTTTATCACAAAATTTGGTTTTACATACATTTGCTGAATCTAATATATCTGTTACAGAATCCAGCCATGGAGTTGAATAATTATGTATGTTGGCATTTCCTACAGGAAACCACAATATTGTCTGGCCAGTCATGTTCCATTGAATCTCTTCCACTGTGAATTTGACTGCTCTGATTGGGTTATCAATAAAGAAGCTTTGATTGGAGTAATATGCCGTCTTCAACAGGAGTGGACCATGTACACTGTGAAGTAAGAAAACTGGTATTTAATCATTTCTAAAGGATTCTGTTGATGATGCGTTAAAATTATTATTGCTGCTTTTCTGGACTTTGTCCATCGCCTGATGTTCTGAATCTGTTTCTTCAGGTGAAGTTGGTATTCCCCAAAACTCTTTATACAACATTGTATCACTAACACACTCTACCCTCTTATCCACTGATCACTTTCACTTATCTGAAAAGGCCTCTCTGTAAGTGGTGATTAGCACTTCCTTCTCCATAGACAGTTGTATATTCATCAGCTGGTACATTCCCTCCCTTGTCCAGTCTGATTCCTACACTCCCATTAAATCAAACTTATGTATTTCATTAATTTTAATGTTACTTTTTCCAATGAATTTGACATTGCAGGTTCCAAAGCTCATGTGCTTTTTCCATTACTTAGGTTATTGTAAAGAACCTCTCAAATCCCAAGGTCATGCATAATATTTCATAATGTAGGACTTGTTTATGATGGGGCAGTTAGCCTCTCTGGTTGTCTGACTTATCTGCTGTCTGAGGATGTGCCGACTTAACGTGGAAATTTTTCACACACCATATTCTTTATAATAGTTTGAATTGTACTAGGTATGTGTATTGTGTATTATTATGACTTATTCAGCATCCTGTTGTCATCTGACAAACTTACGGATTTGTGTGTGTGTGTGTGTTGTTAAGTAACATGGATAAACCTGTAGTGAAGTCTTCTTGGTATGGATGCATACTTTCACCTAGCACTCCTAATGATGCTTAGTGCACTGAATATCTCACTGCTGTCTCACAGGTCTACAATGATAAGATCGATGTTGCTGGAATGCCAAGGGATGCTGTCTGATGGTGGTGCTATAAGAGAGCAGAGTAGCTCTCTTCTTCATGGAATTGAGGCCAAAGTGCATCAGCCTCTGTTTCAGAGACCGACGTGCCGTAAGTGTCGGGCTATCACAGTCTCACTTTGTATACATGATTTTGTATGCTGCATCTATCAGCCAGGTAGCAAAACTGAGACATTGTATATAGTAAGACTACGTGGTGTCACAACCTTGAAGATCACAACTATTGACAATATGGTTTCTTTGCAGGTAGCCTGGAAAACCGTGTTGAACACTTTGTAAAGAAACGCCGGCTAGAAGTGACATTTTCAGATGAAGGATCAAGTCAAGAACATAAAGGAAACTCCAATTAGAAATAATTCCTTCAAAAGAATGATCCCTCAGGACCAGAGCAAAGATTTCACCTACAGTTCCAGTTTTTGTACAGTTAGCATCTAGCTTTGAACTAAGAAATATCATATTACAAGATGGTTTTCTTGTAACAGAATGATAATGAAATGAGAGAAAAGAAAAAACAAATTTATTATAATGGATCTTGTCTGTGTGTGCTAATTTGTCTAGCCTCATCTTCTTTCCTTATTGATCCAAGTATACTCAGCACCATGATTTTGAATACCCTAACCAGCCCCTTTCCCGTAATGTGAGAGACCGAGTTTCAAAGCTGTACAAAACTTCAGGCAAAATTATAGTGTTATATATGTAAATCTGTGTTTTTAAGCTGAGTGGTAGCAAGCATTACCTGAATTTGTTTTACTCTTTATATATTATTTTTGACACACATTCAAAGATTTATTAATTGTCTTTGTGTTATGATTTTGTTCTGCATTATGGTGATGAGACATGAACATATAATCAAGTTTTTTATGCATTTATAGGCTAATCTGTCTGATATTGACTAGTTTGATTTAAGCATATTCTGATTATACTAACTAGGTGTAAACTTTACTTCTTCTCAAATTTATTAAAATCAAAAGAGAAAATATGACTAAAGGCTATGTTACAATTTATAATTTGAAAAAGTTATATTTGGAGTTAGTGGTAAGATAATACAGTCTATGTGAGATTTGTGGTGGACAAAGAGGTGCTGTGACAGGTTTTTCTGATCCTTTGGTTTCCTTGTCAATGTAGGATTTGAGGTTTTCATGGCGGTGAGTCTGTCTGCAAGAAATGCCAGCACCAGAACTTTATTATTTTTATTTTGTAGTTTAAGATTAATTGGAGATTTTTGTCCATTGAACTGTATGGAATGGAAACCGTGCTTCAAGGGTGAAGAGGAAATAGTTCAAGATTAGGTTTACAATTTTTTTATGAGCAGGCAGTTCTCTCTAAATTTATTGGTTAGTGAACATTAAACAAACATTGTGAAGTTGATGTTATGGGTTCTGGCACCATATAGACTTGGCAGATGCCAACATTTTTCAGAAAATGTCTACAGTGTTTCTCCAGAAAGTTGGTGTTTACAAAGAAGTTTTAATGGTGCCAAATTCCAGATCCTTCTTATCACTGTGGAAACCTTTTAGTACCCCTCTCTTTGACGAGTTTCGTATATGCTACACCTAGATGTCAGTGAATAAGATCAGGAATCTTCATTTTAACGTCTTGCGTGCGCGTATTGACGTCACTAATTTGGGCGTGTTGGTCTTGGTACAATGTTCAATGACTAAAGCGAAGGTTATGTTCATGGTTTCCTATCCGGTAATGTACAACATTACTTCCGGTGGGATTAGGTAATCAGTGAGTGGGATGGAGGTTTAACTTGTTTTCGTAGTGTTTTGTTGGTGAAGATGGCATTGAGTGGTTTTGTGGAGTTCTTCCAGAAAGGAAAGGTTAGTAGATGCATCGGCAGATATGTAAACGAAAACTATCTTCTGCATAATATTATGTCACTGAGGTAGCTTTATATTTTGACAGTACTAAATTATTCTCGAATAATCTAAATACTGTCTTGTCAGTGACGGGTAATAAGTAAACTAGGAAATATAAATTGATTAGCCTTATATTATTTCGTAATTAGACGATGTTTATTGATTAAGGCATTGGATGCCTTTCAATTTACTTTCGAGTATATTGATTATCGAAAGAATCTTTAATGTTGTCTTGTCATCGAGATGTCTAAGGTAAACAGTTAGGAAACATAGATTGTCTTTTATTATTTCATAATGGGACGATGTCCATTGTTTCTGATATCGGTTTTCTTACAGTTTACTGTCAAGTGTATTGATCATCATTGATCTATTTTTATCCCCAAAGTGTTTGTTGTCAAATTGCTATCACAGGAATGTAGTAACCAAACTCTGCATTGTTATACTAGAAATTTCTTTCCATTTTAGGCAGTGGCATGCGGTGGTCATGCAGAAAGGGTAAGCTGCGTTCTTTGCAATTATTCAGTGTACCTTGTAACTGCACCAGTATATTTTATCATGTAAGCTTTTGCATGGCCCTTCTAATTTTGGGCGCTATGACATTTTTTTTCAAAAATGACATATCTTCACTATCTCTTGGATAAAAGGTGAAGGTGCAGGCAGACTTAGAATTTGACATGGTGTCAGTACAGAAAATAATCTCAACTGTCACACTCATAAAAAATTTAAATCTCACCTAGTCAGATTGTATGATTTTGCATAAGATAGAATATCTTAGCAAACCTCCAACAATTGTAATTTGTGTTGATTATAATTACTTTTTTAGTGCAACTAGATGAATAGGAAAAGTGATAATTGTGTCACAGCTCCCTACCACTGCTTTGGTCATATGATGCTCCTGCCACCGCATGCTAACCCCTGCCAATTATCCATTTTCACATGAACATTTTTGTAAATATGGAAAGGGTTAAGACACAATTGAAGTTAGAGGAATATATTTAATTTTGTGTTTAAGTCATGGTTTTATGTGTGTGTGTGTATATATATCATACAACATACTCTTCATGCTCTGGTTCTTTATTACATATTCTTTGCACGTGGTGCACAAAATGAACACTTGTAAGTCTGATCATATCTGTCTGCATATTTCAACTCAAGAACCATTTGATGTTCTAATGAAATTTAGTATGGACATTGTAACACTAGACATCTTGGAATATATACTTTTTCATTTTCTGCAATTGGTAATGCCAACATGGCAGGTAATGTGGAACCTTGAAAGTGGGCACCATTCACTAGGAAATGATGTGTGTTAACATCTTTTAAACATTTTAAGCTTTTATTATGGAAATGTTTTGTACAGTATAAATTAGCAACATAATTTTGACATGACCAGTAAAAAGTTTATAATATTACAGACATTTCGTCCAAAGAAGCGATTTGAACCTGGAACATTGAGGTATTCATTACACAAACAGGCACAGGCATCCCTGAATTCAGGTATCAACCTTCGTTCTGTTGTGCAGTTACCTCAAGGAGAAGACTCAAATGACTGGATTGCAGTTCATGGTAAGCGTTCAATACTAAAGGAAGAGAGTCAATTTCTGTTTTGAATTTTTTTTAAAAAAGAACTTTAAATGGGGATATATGCAATGTCCTTCCACATCACTTCTGAATGGATTAATACAATTTTGCCGCTTTAACCCTTTGCCATACTATTTAAATCCACTATTTCCTCAAGCTCTCAACCCAATTTCATCATAATCTCATCCATGAAGTGTATTTTTAAAGATTCATAAATATTCAAGGTCTCATGATACATTTTCAGGCATGCTTTTTTGTTTTTGTTTATTTCTTGCTCAATAAAATACATAGTATGTGTGATCAAAATTGTTTGTCTTGTCAGTATCTGAAAAGGGGGGGGGGTATTATTGCTGTAATAGCAACAGGCAAACTTTGTGGTGTGGGAATTGTTATTATAACCATAAAATTAGTTTTTGCTCAAAAATCTGCATAATTTTGGGCCAGGATGCCATTTATATGACTGTACAGTCATCCAACTATTATGTGTACTCTACAGTATGTTTTGTTATTTCAACTGAATCACAATGGATTTGAATGTTGAATCTCTGAAGTAACCACCATAGCAGATCACATTATTTTCCATTAAATGGAACAAGTGAGATAAAACTATCATGTAAGATGCATTTATTTTACTGCCTGGATGTTTCATGTATGTGATTGGTCCTATCAACTACCGTACCAAGTTCTGTCTGTAAGTCAGCTGTGTTTTATGAACTGCTCGTCATGGACTGCTTATCATGTCACACAAAATACATGAGCATGTAAATTTTTGGAGGGTTTGTTTTACTGCATGTGGTTAAATGAAGCCAGAATCACTTTCTTCATCCATTCCTTGGAACATGACTTTTACATCCTTACATGTGGCTGTCATGTAGTGTTCACACCGTGTATGGTTTGTTAAATGAACTAAGAACATGCAGTTCATTTTGCTTTTTCATGCAGTTGTGGACTTCTTCAATCGTATCAACCTTATATATGGAACAGTATCAGAGTACTGTACAACCACATCATGTCCTACAATGTCAGGTGGACCAAAGTTTGAATATCTGTGGGCTGATGGTGGGAAGTATAAGAAACCAACTCCCCTGCCAGCTCCTCAGTATGTTGCCCTGCTTATGGACTGGGTTGAAGCTCAAATAAATAATGAAACACTGTTTCCCGTTTCCACAGGTAACGGCATCAACTGATTTTATTTTGTTATTAATTTATTTGTGATTTATTTAACAACTTTTTCAGTATTTTAGGTTCTATAGTATTAAACGGGTGATTAATTAATAATAAATTGGAAAGGATAAGGAAGGAAGTGGTTGTGACCTAATTTCTGATAGGACACATGAAAAGATGAATAATTAGTGCATAGTTTTGGTTGGAAAACCTGAAAGGTAAAGACCACTCAGAAGACCTCGGCGTAGAAGGGAGAATATGGATTTTAAGGAAATGGGATATGGACTGGATTCTTCTCGTCCAGGATGGGTATTAGTGGCAGGAATTTTTTGACTAGTTGACTGACTATAAACTTCTATGGAGTTTTTTGGGTATTGAACTAGGAATTAAATATTAAATCATTTTACATTATAATAAGTTTTTAGTGTTTTTAGTCTTGTGTATGTATATGTAAATGGAAGAACACCATATTGTAGTAATGCTGTCTCGCTACATGTCATGGAGGCATTTGTGGGGAGAGGAGATATAGCTCATACTCATTCTAGATGGGGGTGAATGGTCAGCATCATTCCCTGTTTGCACTTTACCCCTGGGGAAAGGACTCCCAGTACCAGTTGAATAGGAGACTGGGTTCACCCTAGAGCTTGTCTGGACTTGAGGCTAGTAGAAAAGTCCTTTACCCCTGCTGGGGATCAAACCTTGGTTGTCCATTCCATAAGCACTATATTGACTGAGCTACCTTAGTTCTACAGCATATTTTAAATATTAAGTTGTATTTTTCCATTTTGATCTCTAAAAGTTATTCTTAGTCCTTTTGAGACTGTCATTGCCATCATTCTTGTAGTAAATTTGTTAGATGGAGAACTGTAGCATTGCTGTTACTCTGGATCATAAAGCAAAGTGTTTTCCTTGCTTGTATAAACCTTTAATGGTCATTATAACATATAACTTTTTTATGTTACAGATGTGCCTTTCCCAAAATCATTCACTTCATTGTGTCGAAAGATTTTAACACGATTATTCCGAGTGTTTGTCCATGTTTATATCCACCACTTTGATCGGATTGTGGCTATTGGAGCGGTAAGTGCCTGATGCCTTGTGATTATTGCAGTAGCTTTAATGTCTCAGTGTTGTATATCACCATCATCACTGCCACTGCCAGTTTTCAAAGACAAACACAAAATGTTACTCTCCAAACTACATTGCTCATAATTTAAGGTCACCGTATTGAAAGGTACAAAGAAAATATTCTATTAGTCATTTTGTAATTTTAAATTCTGCATGAAAGTTATACTGATGTTGCTTTATAATTTCGAGTTCTTTAGCTGAAACATTGGTGCTTTTGTTTAGGTTTAATAAATTGTTACGATCAGTGGCATCCATTTGCAAAGCTTTGTTCAAAAGATATTAATAGGGGCAAACACAAAACAAACTACAGTGCCTTGATTCTACCATAACCCTTCGTCTGTTCCTTGATGCCTTATACTTTGCTAGAAAATTTGCTGTCATTGTTAATTTAATGTAAAACTGTAAATTTCATGGTGCAACCTTTCATGATAAGTTTCTGGTTACTCAATTGGTCAAGAAATTTGCCCATTCATTCCTGTTCACACCTGTCTTCTGTATCTGAAGAGGTCATCTTCTCTATCTTCATGTTGTAGTTTTGCATAGCTATGGTAGCAATGACCCACTCGTGGGATGTTAATGACAGTGGGTAATGATACTGTAGTAGCAATCATCAAATTGCATGATTCAAGATCACAGAATGACTTTACCCCCAACCGCATGGCTATAAGTCAGCTGCACAACATTGTTAGCTTTGCTACACTGTGAGTTCTGACCTGTCGTCACTCACCCGAGCTCCGTTGTTTGTGTCTTAATGTATGATTTTGCAATGACCTTTAAACATGCAATTTGGTGATGGCAACTGTTGTGCTAATGGTTGAATTCTTCCTGTTTACTATTCCAGGAGCCACATGTCAACACGTGTTACAAACACTTCTATTACTTTGTCCGTGAGTTTGACTTAGTCAGCAGCAAGGAACTTGAACCATTGAAGGAAATGACATCACATGTATGTCGAGATTATAGCGATTCTCCTGCAACATCAAGTTGACTGTCAACAACACGACAGCAAGCATGAAGGCACAGAACTATTCCATGGTAGGATTCATCATCCATTTACATTTGTGTGTCTATCCTGTTTATGATATGTCTCGAATTTGAGTTGTTTTATCATGAAAGAAATTTTCTGTTTGTATATGACATGATATAAGTGCATAACAGAATATTAAAACTCATTTGTACTGTGTTTAGTAATTACCTGAATCATTGTTTTAAACTGTGGATGAAATATGTCTTGCTGGGAATTGGAAATCATAGGAATAAATGATTCACATTTAAAATGACTGGGAGCATTCCCACATCAACATTTTCATGTTACGTATGCGTTTAGTCAGCATCATTGTGTATTTTTTACTTTCAGTAAGTTTTGTCAAGGGCTTCGTAAATTTTCTTAAAAACTAGGTACCGGGTGGGAACATATATGCATACATTTCTTCCTCAAGCACATTGAATTAAAATGTGCTTCTTAGCCTGATTTTTTATTGGCCACTTTTATGTGGCAATGCAGGTAACAAATTTTCCTGCCCTGTTTGTTTGTCATTTTATCATATTTCCTCCATCAGTTCCAAGACAATGTGATTTTAAAGCAATATCTCCAGAGTTTTCTCGAATATATGTCCTGTAACTTTGATGGTGTTTGCTTATCTAGACTTAGAATTCAGTAAATTAACTGTTTTATTAATTTTAGATAAGTATTTTAGAAGTAACATTTTTTGTTGTACAAAAGTAAAAAAGTCTGAATGTGATAAATGTAGTTGTAGATGTAAGTATGGAAGATGAATTAATAAGTATTTCTCCAACATTGCAATAAATTATGTTAGGTAATTTTCCTTTTGTCTTTCTGTATGTATAGCAGATATTTCTTACTTATTTTAAGCCAAAATATGGTCTCTTGAAACTGCAGCATTTTGTTCACTTGCATTTTTATGCAGTAATTATGTTTTCATGCTGACTTTTTTGGTGGAAATGTAATGTCACTGCCAGTCACTGTGTTTATGAATGCAGATAATTAAAATTTTGTAATTATGAGAAGAGCATGACATTGTTTGTCTCCTGGGTTGCAAAGCCTTGTGGTCTTGAAGGCAGATACCAGTATTTCAGAATAAGATACTGCCAACATCTCGCTTCACCTCTGAAGATGGAAGCAGTATGTTCCCCAAAAATGTAGGTATCTTTCTACAAGTCCACTCAAATCACATATGAAACAGGAGTAGAATTGAATTCCTCGTGCATGTTGGTGTGACTGTTCTCTGGCTCACGAGGGAGATGGATTGTCAAGTACAGCCTTATTAGCATATTGTATTGTAAGACTATAAAGATTTTTCTTAATTTTTTATATCTGTCTGACAGGTTAATCAGATTTTTAAAAGCTATTGTGACATTGGCAGAATATTACAGCTATATAGCCACTGTTATTGACTAACTCCATTGTGTGAGGTTATATTTTATGGATGCCTCAGCCACACTGCTTTTTTTTTTAGCTTCTTTACAGCTCCATAATTCTGAACCAGAGGAGTCCTGAGGTTTGCTGTCAATTGTTCCAAATATAATGTCCAAACTATTCCAGGACACATGCATACGATTCATTAGGCTGTCTGTTATGCTGATCAAATCAACATCCTTTCTTTTTTCTGAAGTGCAATGACAATGAGGTGCCACTGTTTTAACATTAATGTATACTTAGTTCCTAACATATAAATGTTTTGTGTGATCATATCATGGAAGTTAATTTGTTGTGTTGAACATATTACAAATTTACTGTTTGGCAGGAACCATGATTGTACAATCCTGCTAATGACTGGAACTGCGCATACTCATATGTGTAGTTCATATTATAATACAATTATATTTTGTTTTAATTCTCTTGTACATAATAATGCCAGTTTCTGGATAATGAGAGGCCATAAACCATAAAACTTATTCTGAATTGCAGCAAGTCAGCTGTTTACAGTAATTGAGTACATGGAATAGACACAGTTTCTGATACCGAAAGTCAATATAATGAATAGTGGTTGATGTTGATCTTCTGGTTTGTAATGCTGTGTGGACTTATTATAGGTTACTAACATTTTGGAGGGACATACTACCTCCATTTTCAGCCACACTGTGTTGCAACCCAGGAGGCCAACATCAACATAATGTTAATATTTTGTGTAAATCTGTTTGTATTTCGATCAGCAGAGTGCCAAATACAGGTTAAGATGTAGTTTACGTGATACATTGTAAAATGAGAATTTTTAAAAGGTACCAAAATCATTAATAATCTAGTCCATAGTCATTTTATTGCATGATAATTGCTCATGTTTATACATTTGCCTGGAAGCCAGTATTGAACCACTGAGTAAGTTATACAAGTTCTTGTGCAATTCCAAGGTTTACCAACTTCAATACATGGATATGCGAGAAAAAATCAAGAAAATTTAAGAATGGGGAGCAATTCGAGATCTTGTAAGTGCCCATCTTTGAAAATGTTCTCAGAGCAAACAAACCAAAACAATTAATTTAAGTTTTGGTAAGCAGAGAGTAATATTAGAGGGTTGTAAAAGGGCAACTTGAAAATAAATTATAATGTTCATGATGCCAGTAAAAACATTGCCTGTGTAGATAAAGCACATGTTAAAAGAATGTTTATTGACAAGATTAAAATTACCGTTGAGATTTCCTAGCTATATTGCTGCTGTTTCTGAATTTATACCGTGGTGAAGTAGTAGGATCACTTAAGTAATCTGGAAGAATCAACTTTGTAGTTTTATAGATGTATGCAAAGTCTTTGTGTCCAGATATTTAACCTTGTTGTCAGAATCTGGTATTAAGAACCACAAGTCAGTTGTAAGAGGCAGAAAGTGTAGTGCTATATTATGTGAATTATGAAATTACATTGTGTAGATGCAGGACTGACTTCTTAGGAATTAAGAATATTAAAATTGCAAGACATTGATATTTCATATTTTGACATTTGTACAAGAGTGTTGTAGTACATAGTGCTTTACCCATATCTACTGCAAGTATGAAATGTTCTTTACGAAAATTAATTTTAAATAGTATTTCATATTTTAAGATGTCATCAGGAGTTATATTGAAATCATTTTAGAATTTTCTGCCACTAAGAGATGCCATTACCCTTGTAATATGTTCTTTTTGTCAATATTATTTTAGGATAAAGATTGGAAACCTGACCTTGATATAATTTAAGTGTATTGGGTTTAAAACTCATATAAATTACAACTATGATGCCAAATCAGAATGCTTATGTGAGTGTGCGTAGTTTATATACATACATAAATTTAAAGTAGTATTTATCAAAAAGGATGATTTCCAATTAATTTTATATGTACTGTTTGTTTATTATAGTGAAGGTGTCTGGGGAGATTCTACAAGAATTCTATTTTATTAATGTTCTGCTAGGGAGGCACAATTTAATGTAAAAAGACGTAACAATATCACGTTTGGCAACGTAAGTGATCACAAGCCTAAAAAGTGAAAATAATGCACTGTTGCATATTATAATATGCAATAAATTCTTTACATACACATTAATGAAAAATCTGGGCTTAAAATAAAACTTATGAACGTAGCTACAGTTGTGCCAAGCAGTTATTCTGTATATATATATGTTCATAATTATAAAATTAACTATTTTTGAAGGAAATCAGTTCATTTATAATTTTAGCCCTTTCATGTTCATTCATATACTAAAAATTCTTCTGAAAAAACAGGTGCATTTTTCACAGATATCCAACCATTCTTGTAGCTCCCCCAAATTAAATGCATAAAATGTTATGTAGTGTCTCTGTTTTATGGCTTGAAAGTCATGAATGATAATGATTGAATGTTTGTGATGTATTGTTTAAATATGTAATAAAATCATCTCTAGTCACCATAAGATTAACATCTTGCATTTAAGTTTTGTTTTATTTCTGTTTTTCCTTGCCACCAAATAATTTAACTCTGAGTAGTTGTGTATATAGCATCATATCAGTGTAGTTCCGTAAACTATGTAAGGAGAAATGTGAATTGTTTATTTTATATTTTTAACAATATCACTAATAATAATGTTCATCTGTAACTGTCCAGTGTTGATGATGAAATAAGAAATGAGGTGGCCTTTTGGACAACTATGCATGCAGCCAATACTTTCCTACAGTGCTACAAATTTGTAGTCGTGCAGAAAATAAAGTATTTTTGTGGCGAAAATTTTACAGGTCTGTAGTTTTCCAGAAAATTCTCTTGGCTAATAGTCTGCTGCATATTTGATTCAAAACTATTCCAAAATATGCATATTTAAGCTTATTTTGGCCATTAACTGAGGAAGTCAGATGCCAGATTCTGGACATAGAAGCATGGTTTTCTCCTGGACCAGTTACTGTCTCACCCATGTTCAGTAGGTGATTTGTGGTGCTTTTATACCACTCCTGAGCCATACAGCAGCAATGAAACAGCTGGCTAGTTATCACATTGGCCCTTGGTCCTATACATACCACAGGCCACAAATTTGGCAGTATCCAAAGAAAGGACGTGTATATTATCAATACATCGACAGTTTTAACCATGATGACTTAATTCGAGCGTGATGGAATGGTAAACATTTAACTCCAAGCCCATTATTCTTTTGGTGTTGACGTTAAACTGCGTCCACAGACCGAGTGACCACCAGTATAAGTAGTCCCCCTCTACCAAAGGTGGATGAACCCGGATGGGTCAACCGCATAGGATGCGGAAGGCAAGGGGAATCCACCGCATTGAAGATCCTCAGGATTTCACAAGTATCAGCAGCTCAAGCTGCTGCCAACCAATCCTAGGATTGATTACAACAAAAGAAGAAGAAGATCGAAAAGCAGATTACCTTATTACCGAGTGAGTTGATATTGATGAGTTGTGTGTAGTATCATAACCACCCCTGACGTGAAGATGGCAGCGCATTCTGCTTGTGAAATTGCGTGCCGATGTTGGTATGATTTATGTTACGTTCTGAGCTTACCTATTTATTATATTAATCTATAGTAGGCGATGGTTGTTGGAGTGTTGGTATGTCTAGGTGCTTAGGATGATAGAGGAAGTATAGTTCAATAGAATGGTCGTGCATTTGTATTTCTTTACTTGTGATGCATACCATGTAAAATATATTTGCGCAATGTAAAAGTAACAGTGTTTCGTTATTAGTACTTGGAGTCTTTCTTCAGTTTTGGGAACTCGCTGCTAAGTGCTTCAAAGGTAAATGATACATTCGTTTACGGCCCGTGGTGCATTGTGATTCTGATGAACTTATATTATTTCATTTGCACATTTATTATATTTAGGATGTTACTCGAAACTGCCTTTATAGTATACATTACTTATCTGTTTCCTATTGCTGAATGTATTTTGGGGTATTGGGGAGGGGGAAGATACTCTGTTTAATTTTGATGTTAATGTTACTATTAAAAGTAGATCCCAAGTGGTGTGGAAGGTTTTGAATGAGAGACCACATACACAGAACTGTGCTATAGAATGTGGCCTCGTCTTATTTTGTGGCTAGTTACAAGACATTTGCTTAAAAATGAATTGTTCAAAAGTATACCATAGTTGTGATCAGCTATGTAGTGTGTAACTAATGTTAATAGTGTAGAATTATTACTGTTGGTTTTGGAGGGACTTGCAGCAATGAACTTGCTGTTTTTAATCAATACATAATGTGGCATGGTCTGTTATTTAGTAAGGTCATAATAATGAAGGTTTGCCTCTTAATATAGATTTTTATGAGTACAGATATGTCACACAGTTTTCCATAATCATTTCACTCACATTTGACATCACATCTTCACATTCAGAAGAATTTTATGACTTACCTACATAAGATTGTCTTCAGAATTTCACATCACACAATTACAGAAGTAGTTATTTCCTTTTTGGTACAGTTGTAAAATGTTATGAGAGGAATGGTTTGGATTTATTTGTGCTTGTTTTTAAACTGTAAATAAGTTCCACATTTATTTACATGAGGCCTTTGTAGGTTAGGACAGTTATATGAAGATAATTAAAGCCTGAATTCTGAAACTTATAATTTTAAGTATGTTGTAAAGTTGTTTCCTGTTATCCAAATAAACTAGATTTCTGTTCTGCTTGGGAGCAGACATATGTCAGCATAATGACAACATCCCTTTAGAAGATGGTTGTCTCGTCTGAGGTATTGCACCATGTAGTCTCATAGAAGTTTATCAGCATTTTAGGGGTGCTTGCTGCCACCATCATGAGGTCAATGCTGGGACAGCAAGCACTAACCGAAATGTCGGTAAGCATCTTCTACCAGACTACACAATGCAAAAACCAGAAGCGAGCCATCTTTATACTCACTGCTGTGAGAACCTCAAATCTCACGTTTTATTAGGTTAATTTGTTTGAGGGATTTCCACAGTTTTATTTTGTCCCTTGTTTTGTTTATAGGATCACTCCATGACAGTACAATCTGAGCTGATAGACACACTAACTTTAATAGAACTTTGTGGTCCAGAAATCTGATGGGTTAGTATGATTGAATTAAACATTTATACACAACTTAGGTGTGTGAAGGTATGTATTTGATAAAAGGAGGATTAAATAATTTAATATACCCAGACTGTTCTCCTATGTTTGATGGTATAAATAAATGTAAATGTAGAAGATACACATGTGGTTACACCTTTACCTACAGTTTTTGAATTTATGTATTTTTTAAGTAAATGAGGTATGCTTAAAATAAAAGACAATTTGTTTCATGTGACATGTTTGAAAAATGTAGTGTAAGTAATTCAGTATGTTATCATACCAATAACATACAGCAGATAAACATTTATCTGATACAGGATTTGAGGTTTTTGTGGTGGTGTGTGGTGTCAGTTATGCATGAAGGATATTTTCCTTGTTTTAACCTTCTCTTAGTTTGTCTCTAACATAATTTAATTTTGTTCTCTCTCTAATTGCAGTTGTGCTATTAATTATTAGATATATGATGTTTTGGCTATTGCTACCCTCTGCATATTCTATAAATGAACATCTCAGCACTGAATAGTACTGTGAAATGCCCGTGTATGAAGAAATCCTAGTGTGATTCCTTCTGACATGTTTACATGGCTTCCGTGTTGGTATCATTGACCATACATTGTACTTGCTTCTACTTATTAATTATTGTTAATGATAGGAAGCTGAAAAAAAAATTGTGTGGCCTCAGTGACATGGTGAATGTGAAAATTGTTGTCTTGGAATGTAAACATTCATAATAGTTGAGCAGCTGGACACATGCAGTTTATTAATGTACTTTGTAAGAAGAAAAATTTTGATTGATTGTTAAATATAATGTCAATGCCTTTAATTCTGTCGTTTTGTGGTTTTTGTAAGCTAGAAGAGCTCTCATATAGATGGCGTGTTTAGTAAGAGGAAACGGCAACTAGATGATGTTTCGCAACTCATGTAACATGGTGTGATTGTTACAGAGCCACTGCAGAGGGCCTTGACAATGGCAGTCCATGGAGCCACCCCAAAAAGGAAGGAGATTTATAAATATGAGGCTCCTTGGCCACTATACAGCATGAATTGGTCTGTTCGCCCAGATAAACGATTCAGGTAAAATGAAAGAATTTACTGTATAACTTCAAAAATTATGCAGAAAAGTATTTTTTTATGTATAATGTTGCATTGCACAGCAGAAAAATACTAATAAATATGAGTAATATACCTGATACTAAATAAAATTGCTGTTGATTTCCACATAATACTTTATCTTTATATTCATACACTGCCATATTGTCTCATATACGAGCTTTACCTGTACAAATCTTGCAGAAGGGAAATACATGTTGCTATTAAAATACTAACTTTTTCTTTCGCATCAGGTACAGTTGAATTTTGATTACTGCAGAGTGGTGTCTTCCAAAATTTGAAGTTTCAAGTGTTTGTCACATGTTTTGATCTTTTGCTGTTTCATTTTGATCCTTAAGGAAATTTTTCCTGAAATTATTCATAATTTCAGGCTTGCGTTGGGCAGCTTTGTTGAGGAGTATAACAACAAGGCGCAGATAGTCTCACTGGACGAAGACACTTCTGAATTCAGTGCAAAGAGTACATTTGACCATCCTTACCCAACCACAAAAATTATGTGGATACCTGACAGTGTGAGTATACTTCAACATTAGATGAAAATGTGCAAAAATAATTTAATTAATAGTGGATTTTTAATTATAACTTGTGATAGGAGTTGGGTATGTGAACATGTTACAAGCTATAAGAGAATGTGTGTGTGTATATTTTGTAGCAGTATTATGAATTAGGATTGAGTGAGGAGGGGGGTAATTCTGCTCACATGGATCATTGCAGCATCCTAGAATTTGCATGGAGGAATTGAGTAAAACCATGGTACAAATTTATTTTCAAACCATCCTACTTCAAACGCTCTGAAATTAGTAAATATTGCTAGTTGATTCAACCCTTATGTATAACTGAATGACTGAACTTGTCTGTTTCTGTTCGGAGGGCAGAAAGGAATTTTCCCAGATCTTCTGGCCACAAGTGGTGACTATTTGCGAGTATGGCGTGCAGGGGAGCCAGAAACAAGACTGGAATGTGTCCTCAACAATGTAAGTTATAATTTGTTTTCGTCGTGTTACGCAGTTGTACGTCCTCATCTCTGATCTTAAGGGAAATGTAAACACATAGGGAACAAGTAATTTAGGTGCAGTGGAAGGATAATGTGATATATGATATGTTTACACATCACTAATAACAAAGTCTTGAATATTCACATTTATTCGCTTTTCTCGGAAACACTTAAGTTTGAGTAAATTCTCTTATCCAAAACTGAATATCCATGGAAAGATGGTTGCTATGGCGCTTGTAGATCTTGGTTGGTCTTTCATGTATTTTTTTTATTATTTTTCCAGAATAAAAATTCAGATTTCTGTGCACCTCTCACTTCATTTGACTGGAATGAAGTGGATCCAAATCTGATAGGAACATCCAGCATTGACACTACTTGTACAATCTGGGGCCTAGAAACTGGACAGGTGAGTTTACATGTTTTTGTTGATATGAGAGTATGCATGCCTGTTTTTACCGTTCCTCATCTGAAATCTTCTATATATGTCTTTATTCTGTCTGTTTGGGTAAGTGAAATGTTATCTGCCAGAATCAGCAATGGATATGACTTCTGGTTTGTATTTGAGAGGTTCCAGGTTCAGTTTTGTCCCAGAAGCCAACTGTCGTGGTAGAAGCATTTTTTCCATTTCTTCACACAAATACTCAGTGATTACTTCTTTCCAAGACCTCTCCAAAGCTGTGTTGTTGAGAAGCCACCAAAAAAAAAATCCATCAGTTACATTGTTTGTTAACAGAGAACCTCTAATGCTGAGTAGAATGTTTGCAAGTCCAGCTTCTGTTTTTCAGATGTGAAACACCAAGAGAAGATTTTATTAGGTAGTGTAGTGGTCAAGAACCTAACGAGTGAAGAATTTGACAAATCAAAAAGTACAGTAGTCAGGACAGATCTGATGATTTGTAGATTTTTTTAAGAATAGTTTTGCTGAATTGGTGAACTTTGTGTATCATGATACAACAAAAGAAGATCATCTCATGTTATTTTAAAAATTCTCTAACTAACTACTCGTAGATGGCTTACTGAACCCGAAGGTTAATCAGCGAATTAACCAAAGCCCTCCACCGAACCCTGTCCTGGGCCAACAAAATCCAGTCTCCTTCAACTGCTATCTCCCATAGATCCCGCCTGAGATTATCCTCCCATCTATGTCTAGGTCTCCCCAGCGGTCTCTTCCCCTCAGGCTTCCCAACCAATACCCGGTGCACACCTCTTGTCCCATCCATGCGCGCTACATGCCCCGCCCATCTCATTCTTCTTGACTTAATCACCCTGACAATTTTTTATTAAATGTTTGTGTTACATACTTCCATTTTGTTAATCCATGATGCCTGCAACTTCTATTACTTCCATTTCTACAGGTGTTAGGGCGTGTAAACATGGTTACGGGGCATGTGAAGACACAGCTTATAGCCCATGATAAAGAGGTATATGACATAGCCTTTAGTCGGGCTGGTGGTGGACGTGACATGTTTGCTTCTGTTGGTGAGTACCGATAGCTTTAAAATAAGTAAGTAAATGAAAGTAATGTAAGGCAATGTTGGAATCTTTAGAAGCAAACTTAATGCAAATATTTTTTTTTCTTTGTCTTTGCTAAGAGGAAATCTGACAAAGGATAACATTATGGTTGTATCACATAAAAGTACTCCATTTTATGATGTGGATTGCCATGAATGTGATGGATATGTCATTAATCAGAATTGGGTGGAATTATGTTCATGGTAGCAACTTGGTCATGTTACCTGCATCTTTGATATTGCAAAACTGCGCGACTGATATTGACCTATGTATTAATTAACTAGCAAGTTTTGTTTCCTAATAGCTAAAATACATGAATAATTTTGAGTTTGAAGTACAGCTTTCAATTTTGTTCCTACACATCTGCTACCAGTTTTAATTCAGCTCATATATTGTTATTTCATTACAGGAATCTACAATCTTTGAAAGGGTCGTCTCTACTGCTTTTATAGTCATTAGGAATTTTTTGTTTTGTGAAGGTGCTGATGGATCAGTCCGGATGTTTGATCTTCGGCATTTGGAGCACTCAACCATTATCTATGAAGATCCACAGCATACCCCACTCCTGCGTCTTGCATGGAACAAGCAAGACCCCAATTACTTGGCTACGGTTGCCATGGACGCGTGCGAAGTGAGTTCATATTGTTATCATTTCTCTGTATGAAGGCTCAGCATTATTGCAGAGAAAGTTTCGGTTTCTTTATGGTCTGTTGTGATTTTTTATCCCTCTTTATTTGAATCTTAGTGAGAACAGTTGAATAGTCAATAGACATGGAAATTTTGTTTCCCTCTTTATCACACATTTTCAGTAAGTCACAATTACCGTTTTGATTCACATTAGTCATACTATACGTCTCTTCATTTCTAGTTGCAGCCGTGTGTTGTGTTATTGACAGTAATGTGATGAAATGCATTTTTTTTTTAATATGTGTACAAGGAGTGGGGTCCTCAGTGGCCGCGCGGTCTGAGGCGTGGGCCTTGTGCTGCTTGGTCGCTGGGACTGTGGGTTCGAATCCCACTCAAGCCATCGATGTCTGTCCGCGTTTTCTGTGTTGTGCTGTCCTGTGTACAGGTAGAGGCCTTGTGACGGGCTGATCCCTCGTCCAAGGAATCCTACCGAATGTGTATAGATCGAGCCAACGAAAAGTTGGGACCCGCAGTGCTCAGGCACTTGAAGAACGGGTAGTTCCCAGTATTCCAGTCAAGAAGTAGTTTCACACATTTATACATGAAATAGCTACTTGTATATCTGTGGATTGCATACCTGTCTCTCTTTGACAGGTGATAATTCTAGATGTGAGGGTGCCATGCACCCCAGTGGCTCGTCTTAATAACCACCGTGCCTGTGTTAATGGCATTGCATGGGCTCCACACTCTTCTTGCCACATCTGCACAGCGGGTAAGTTAATGTGCCGTATGAATAAAGAAGGATAAGGTCTGTGTACTGAGTACATGCTGATCTTTGTGCATATTTTTATGCTCTGAAGTTCATTCACATCCCTGTGGCTGTCTCGTTCCCCAAGTCTCATGAACATGGTAATCAACTTTTAGGTCACATGAATGGCAAGAGTCTCTTGAGTAGCTGAGTGACTGCTGTCTGCTCAAGAAGGATTCTGTATTTATTGAAAGTGGCTTAATTTTCAAGGAGTTGTTATGCATATTCAAATTTATGAACATTTTCAACATTTAGCTCATATGTAATTTTGACGTCAGGACAGTCATTTCTAGAGATAATGAGACTAAAGTGTAAGCTATGGAAAAAGAGCAGTTAGCAATTCCTGTACGAATAATTGCAGGTGATGACCACCAGGCCTTAATCTGGGATATTCAGCAGATGCCCAGGGCTATTGAGGATCCTATCCTAGCATACACTGCAGCAGAAGGGGAGATTAATCAGATACAGTGGGGAGCCACACAACCAGACTGGATTGCAATTTGTTATAATAAAGCGTTGGAAATTTTGCGTGTGTGAGGAGTGCTTTGATCATGGTCTTCGGTAAGCACGCAATATCAGTGGGACACATGATCATGTTATTATATTCGAAAAATTTTATTGCGTTTACATATGTGAGACCAGTCTAATTTTGATGATATTTCGTAGTTTTGCCGAATTTTTACCCAGTGATCTTTTATTTGTTTTGTTTTTTTACAATGGAAGAAAGCAATTACTGCATGTGGCAGAGAAGCCTGACTAGTTTAATTTCTGAATAAATTCTGTTTTGTTGAGTAGTGATATAAACTGACACATCAACAAAAACAGAATTCATTAATGCCCCCTTCCACAATCATGCACTCTTTGAGTGAAATTAACTATCGTATGTTATTTAACATGTATCTGATATTGGCTTTGAGTTCAACAAAAGTAGTGGGCCGTATGTGACTTCAGATAACCCTGGAAAAAAAAGTAGTTGGGGGCTAAGAAATCAGGAGACCTTGGCAGCCAGTTGAAGTCACCAAACTGTGGGGTTAGTCAATTTGGAAACGTTTTGTGCAGCTTCTCCATACTCATTCGTGCAGTGCGTGATGTGCTGTCTTCTGGAACCACCATCGCTATGTGTGATCCCAACCAAACACCTATGCATGCTGTACATATCTGTGGCCTTGAACACTTCTACTCATATTTGTTTACTACTCAACATAAAAATTTCATTATATCTGCCTGACCATGTAAATTTGATAGTGATTACAGCACAAACTCGATGAGAAATGGTGATGTTCTGCACATTGTGTAGACATTTGTCGGATATTTTATACTGATAAAGGAAGTAATCAGATAAAACGGAATAAATTGTGATTATTTGCAAGTAGCTTGGTGGATCAGGCAGAGCTTGAAATGCATGTGTGGTTATTACATGACAGATGTACAGACAAAATGATTACAGAATAAGGAAAATCAGTGGAAAGTCTTCTTGATTTTGGAAGATAATTCACATTGATTGGTCAATATAGAAGACTGCAGATTTAAATTTGAAAACGTTTTGAATTTTGAAGTTCTTATTGTGAAGTAGTGCAACTCAGAACTGAGCCATTTCATAGACCTGTAAACATATAGATAGACAACGTTGATGTTCTGTTTGCGTCTCGGTTAATGTTTCTGAAGTCACCATTATTGCAGAAGTGATATACTTTTGCAAAATGTGTTGGTTTTACACTGAGTGTCCTTCACATACCTCGAGAAGTCCAGCGGAATTAAGTTAGGACTTCTTGGGGTGGCCACAAAAGTGGTCTGCTTTGACCCAGGACTCTGAATATTCAGAGGATTATGCATCATGAAGGTGAAATTTGGTGATGGATCACATTGCTGGAAAATTATATAATCATTTTCTTGTGTTTGAGGAAACAGTATTTGTTCACTAAAATCACTTCTGTTTATTTATTTATTTTCTAGTAAGTTGCCTGTTAAGAATGAGAGAAAGTCTAACGTAGTAACACACGGCGTAAATATTATCCCATATAACAGCATTTTTGTGGCATTGGTTATAACAACACGCACATTAATAAATATTATCCTGTAGGGCCCAAAATCATACACATTCTCTCAAACAAAATTTAAATGTTCTAAATAAAAAGTATGGCTAATGGTGATTAATAATTTTAAAACGTGATTACAATCTCTTACATTTATCAAACTGGAACAGCTAGCTGTGCAGACCGAGGGTAATGTTAACAATACACTTCTGTATAAATCAACACTGGGTAGAGATTAAATGCAGCATTTACAAATTGCAAGCTTTGTAACATTATGCATAAGTAGCAGCTACAGGAATGTCAGAATTTTGAATTCTGTATTTTAACAGTTTTTGTAAGATGTTCTTCTGAAGGACAATATTTATTCGATACTCCAATTCATAAAATAAGTGCTTAAAAGCTTTTAATTTATAATTACTACAACTGAAGTCATTTGACAAGTTGTGCTATTTTATGTAAATATTGAGATCTAATGGAGCAAGCAAGTAAGCACACTCTGTAACAGTGTGGAAAATACAAGAGTAATAGGTATCAGGAAGGAAGGTATGATGCATGAGTGTTCTGGCCGAATTAACAGCCAAGAGGAGAATAGTTAGTATTGCTATGCAAAAACAGATTTTCAGTGTACTGCATTTCCTATCTAACTTTGAGTACTGAAAATTGTGTCTTGTGTACATTCGTTTGCAGACAGATACTGTGGCACAAATACCGATTATTCTTAGCCCATTCAGTGCTGCCTAAGTAGATGATTGAACCCAGGAGCCATTGTATTTTAAATGACCCATGGTGTATGTGCAATGAGAGTTTATGCCAGTTAACACATTTGCATCATCTCCGTTTATGAAGGTTTCAAACATTTAGTTACATAAAATTATTTTCCATTACTGGCAAATAATAAGTTCAGTCTGGAATAGTCCTTCATATTTGGAGTTGCATTATGCTTCATGTTATAATAAGAATTACCTTCCAATTTTGCAGAATTTTTTCACAATAAAAAATGCTGTCTTCATGGATCTAAAAATTAGTTCCAAACAAAATCTAAGATTTCTAGGACTTGTGGTAATTTTTGTTATGAAGGACCTGAAGATGAGTTACATGAATTATTAATTTTTATCTTCCATGATTTCTGAACTTAGAAAAGCACTGATGTATATTTGTTGCAAGATATCTCCAAGCTTCATCAAACATTGCAAGTATGCACGTTGGTGACCAGCCAACTGAGGTATGGGAATGGAGGGAAAGACTGCCACACTGTAGTGTGTGGAGTCTTGC